AGGGGTGGGCCTAGGTGAGGATGGTTAGATGAACGGAGGAAGTGCCATGGGCGAATCCGCTGTCGAGGCTTAACGGATAAAAATTATCCCTTTAAAGTCGAGAAGCGCTATAAAAGTGTAGTTAAGCTAGAACGCGAAAAACCGGGGAGGACAATCTCACGAGTCTCGAGTCTTTCCTTCCTCTAGGTCTCAAGGCGTCTCTTCCGGTAATAACTGTAATTGGTAAATAACTGGAGAGGGGAGATTTTAAGCTATTTATGCAGTTAAACTGTCCAGACCCTCTTATTGCCATCGTATTTTTAGGCATCACGAAAGAACGTCTCTATTAGGACGAAAATAAAATAAAATACAATTATGACAAGATATAGAACTTGGTCGGGAACGGTGAGCATTTGATTGCTGTTAAAATTTTGAATACGACTGTCATAACTCCAATGTTCTGCAGTCTTGGTTAAACGCCGAATTAATTCCGTGAAATCAAGACGTCGGCTTGTCTGACTTAAGGGATGCGGAGGTATTTCACGAATCCTTAGAATTGAAATAGATCCCGGACAAGGGACAACGCATGAAGAGAAAAAAAAAAGTAAAGAAGAAATAAAATAAGGGATGAAGGGGAAAGACAGAGGAGAGAGAAATAGAACGGGCCGGTAACAAGAAGACGAATGTATCCGTGGCCGGCAAGCTTGACTCCCGGTCACAGGGGTTATATTGTCTGAAAAAAAAAACACCTGATATTTATGGTCCAGCTGATCCGTTACTAGATGCTGGACTTCCATAGATCGGATCTCACTAAATCACCGAGAGGGACTCCTGGAATACGCCTAGGAAGGAACTAACCCCCTTTAGCGTACGACTATATGGGGATGTTGTAAGGACCACCCCCGAAGCTCCATGCGCGAAATGAAGGACTAAGGACAAAAGAAAGGATCGAACCACGAATCGTAGAATCCCAACTCACGCATGGTGTACCTCGAAGACTATACGTCACATTAATTCGTATATTCAGTTCGTAGTTTGTACCCTAGTCTCGGTTGGTGATTTTCCCTAAATTGACAAGATTTATAGGCTATTAACTGATTGGACATAATTTTACCTTGATTTCATTTAATCGAATCGCTGGCATAGAACAAAAATTGATAATCGGTGACGTCCTTCCAATTGGTGTTTTTTTTTCATTTCCTACAATAATTTGAGCTAAGATAAAAAGTAGGTCTAATTTGTATGTCAAAATCACGTGTAGCTTAAACATTTATACACTGTCACAATGATCAATCAAATCTGATGATCAATCGAAGATCAATGTGTTTGGCTTTATTATTCTTTTATATCTACACCCATTTAATTCTTACGTACCAAATAGCATTGTTATCTCATAATCAGTGAGAGTCTTACTGAGCGTTTAAAAGGATCGGCCGATTGGTCTCTTCGACCCGATTAGAAGAGACCGTTCACGAAGAGGATAGCTCGTAATCCATTGAGCGGACCCAAGAAAATCATCCCCCGATATGGGACAAACTAAAACCTTAGTCTCTCCCATACGTAGCTAGGTACGTGGACATCCAGCAGGAAGTGGGGTGGTTTGATCTGATTAGCGGGTATCGATCCTCCTTGACGAACCGACCGACTGACTGGGTCAGGGTGGCCTTCTTCGGGGTCCCCGTACGCGACTCCCGGTACATTGCAATCTTCTGTTCACTTATTTATTTTTTTTTTTTACGTTACGGTGTACTGCTCTCTATAATAGAAATACATTAATTATTTTTTTTAGTGAACAACCTTCATACGGCAATTGGGTCAATATAATAATTTTCAGGAAGGATAATATAATTAAATACTAACTATCCTAAACACAGTGACGTAAGTCAGACTCGAAAAAGTTTCCCTCGAAAATTGTCAGCTTATTTCTTTTTACTGACTTTCTGTCCGATTAAGGAATACCGATCGTCCTCGTGGAAGAACTTGATCGATTGACAAGGTGACTGGGTCAGGGTGACCTTCTTCGTGGTTTAGCTGCATCACTACCCCAACGTACGTTTCGTTCATTCGTTCATTCAGCGAATACACCTAGGCATAAGAGTGTACGTGTAGGTAGAGACTACGGATATAAGCTACGTGCCGCGTCATCAACCACCGTGAACCTACAGCGTCATCAGAAGTGAAAGATGCTGGCGTCGCCAAATCTTCCCTTTCTCGACCTCTTGCACGCGGTGAGAGTAAACGTGACGTCACTCAGCTTAAAGCTGCCAAACGAAATGAAACCGATCGATCGATTTCAATCGGTTCGATATCAACGTTTATAGAAGAATTACAAAGTTCCAAGCAAAGGGTCGCCTTTAAAAAATGACCAACATTATCAATTGTATTCGTATCGTAACTTGACTTTTGACGACTTGATCGATGACTTCTTTTTAAATAGTCTAGAAAAATTAACTTTCGTTAATACAACAGATCCTACCCCAACTTCTTCATCCAAAGAGTGTAGCTTATTGTACATTATTTTATTTTTAACTCGTTTCATATGTCAAGGCACACTTTGTTGCTGATCAAAAATTACATCAGACCACCTGGTAATGCAAATACGATCCTGGCCACAAGAGTCACGTGTGTATGTACGTACTGAGAGATCCATGTGTATAGCAAGTACAGTTATCAGGGTTGAGGCAGGAAGTGGCAAAGATTAACGAGGGTAAACAAGAAGAGAAAACAATGTGTGACCAATGTTGATTGACATTTTTCAAATGATTTTCTATATTCTCTCTTCAAAGTTCGGGTAAAAATCTAGTAATTCATAAGATCCTTCTAAGAAGCAAAATAGTCATCGGTACCTTATGATCATGAAGAATCAATGAGCAATGATATAAAACAGTAACCTTTTATTGAATACACAAAACTCCTCAGCCGGAAGAGTCTCCAGCAGAGACCCGTACGAACTCACTGAGCTATGCGTGAGGTTACGATATCCAAGTTCGTTTACAAACAACCCGGAGCGACGTGACGTTCGATATGAGCGGTACGTCGCTCACCCCTTTCGCCAGCCTGCCAGCAGAGTGCGACACCAGACCAAACAAACATAATGTAACTACAAATACTGATGGCATAACCCATAAGGAGTTGTATAAAGGAGAGTGCTGCATTGTACAGTATACCTGGAACATAACCTAAAATCGCAAGATTGTCTCGTCATGATGCTTCATTACCTATATGCAAACTGAAGACTCGGATGAACAATCATTTTTGGCTAGAAGATGAAGAGGAGGTACGTGTAAAAAAAGAGTATAGGTGTTCATGGAGGCCGTCTACGTCACAGGGGCCCTGGGGGGCTGCAGGGCCATTGCAGAAGGGTGGCTAGGGAAGATAGAGATAGGCCACGGTAGTGGCGTGACTTGACAATAAAGCTCATCTCACCTTCAGCTCGTCCAAACCCCCTTCTATCTTCTCTTTTTTTTACTCTTCCTGAAATCACCCCTCCGTAATCCTCTCGCGTCCATCCACTTCTCTACATTCTCTCTGCACAGCGCGGACTCTCTCGCTGATGGCTACGTATCGTTTGCCAACTGCGGGATACTCAAGAATTATAACGTTGCCAGTTGGGACTTTAAAACTTGGTCGTTCCGGAGCGTCACTTCTTCCCGACGTCCGACCAGAATTTTTATTCTGAATTTCTGTCTCTTATGTTTTTAAATTAAAAAAAGAAGCCAGGTAATACTTGAGAAATGCTTTCGAAATAAATTATATTTTTCTGGGTTATATTTGACACGTGACTTACAACAGTCAATAATCATAATATCGCTGTAGTCATGCGGTAGATTTGGTTGGTACCAAAAAGTTAGAACCTGTTAGAGCGAGCGATCGCTCAATCTGTCAACTCATCCTGGTTAGTCGACATGGAGGGTCGCGAGGGTTCGAAAGACAAGTCCATTGTTAAGCAACCCCTGTGGACGAGTCAGTTAAATCCTCATTAGGACTTTTAGCGACCTTTTATCCGACACTTGACACCAAGATCACTGGATATCTTTTTAGCCCATATCAATATCATATGAATGAACCTTAAGAAATTGGTGAATTTTAAAGAAAAAAAAAAAAAGTATAAATTGTTGTATCACTCCTTAAGAGAATTTATACGTACCAAACTATTACGAAGCATCGTGCAGTATCCCGAACCGTGTATATTAGCTACTTCTTCCCTGCACGAGTGCTTCCAAGAAGAGGTGAATGTATTGTTTACAAAAGTTTCGGCTGAATGAATTTACGGTGGATGTGCAAACTCAGCGAAAAAAGTCGCGTTGCTAATGCGGCGATTGAACGTGAACCAACGACGAGCTGCAACGACGACACGTCGTTTCGGAACGTGGCTCTGCGATAGCTCGCGTGAACGTTGTTGCAAGCTATTCGTAGATATTACTTACAAACAGCTAAGGAGAACGAAGGAGAAAGGGAATATAACGAAAAGGGTGTACTGGGTGGTGGGTAGGTAGGTAGGTAGGTTGCTGGTGCATAGGAGAACGAGAGCCCCGCCGCTTCCAGTTCCCGTTGGTCGTGCCTGCCTCTCAAATGAAATGCTGACGATGCACATTGCACCTAGAACCAAGCGAAATGCGGATCGCTGCTAACCGGAACTTTCCGTTACCTGTCCCCTTCCGCTCCTTGTCCCTTTTAATTAATAACGGCGAGCTGGATGCGTCGCCTCTTTTTCCTAGTCTTTTTGCCATTCTGTTCTCTTATTTTTCATTTATATTGGCAACTGCAGTAAAGAACGTTAAAAATGACTGCATTGGAATACCGGATGAATAATAAGCATTTTCATGATTTGGCATAAAATGCAAATGACAATTGACATCCCCTTCCACCCTTACTCGTTAGGCGAAAAATTACTTTTCTTTTTAATTATTATAAAGAATACTTACATATATAATTTTTTATATTCAGATGCTTGCAATTCTTTACGACGTTGGAGATTTTCGTGGGAATTTATCTTCGATGAGAGAAACTGTTTTCACACGTTTATCGGAAACTGTCGATCGCGACGTTTATTTATAATAATAAGTATAATCATTTTATGTACACATTAGACGATATAACGGGAATTAAAATATCTTTGCGTCGAGTGACGGTCTGCCAATTGGTATTGGATACCGACTCGACAAAACAATAATAATTATATGCAATTAGGTACCTATTAGACGATTAACCCAGCCTTGTACCGCAGAACCCTTGCTGTAATTAAAAGATAACCCCTAATTAGTTCCGCGTGTTACGGTATCGCGGTCGATTTTAATTTGTGCTTTTCATTTTTCGAGAAATACTCGTCGACTTCTGAGCTATGGAAAATGATCATGAATTCGATTTAGCAATTCTCTTGATGAAATTAACCGAAGGTTACATGGCACGATGAAGATGATGCTCGAGACACGTATCGATTAATTTTTTTTATTCGATACGATTTCGATGTGAAATGATTTTTTTCCTTGTGAAAAGTCGTTCTCACGATCGGTAAGAGCGGACGTGAAAAAAAAAAAAATTTGTTCGCCAATAAATTTAAGAATAAGAATAAGCCTGAGCAACGAGCCGTCGGAAGGCGTGAGTCGTATTTCAGAGGGGTTCTTTTTAAAATTAATTAACAAATCGGGGTATATCTTAAACGCTAAAGATTTTCTTTTTAATTTGCGCTACGACATTTTTTGGTACGATATCCTTTGGTGTCAATTGTCTGTCCACCTTGAAGTGTACATTAAATACGCCTGTGAGTATACCTAAGCGTAATTTAACCTAATGATACTTTAGTTCCTTCTTAGTGCCTAATTCTTCTACATTAGACAGAGGAATGTATAATCTTTTTTTTTTTTTTCCTTTCCTTTCCCATGATCAGAACATCCAGCTTTTAGGCCTTTGTTGTAAAAATACCCGCGATACAATTATGTCGTATACCCTTATACTCTTTTTAGTTTTAATGGAATACTCGATAGCCCTGCTTCCGACGTCATTTTGTTACGATAAAGAGACTGTCAAATTGCCATGACATCGCGGATCGACAGACTTTCAAGCGTATCGTCATCGTATCGCGATTTATTAGGATCACGCGCGAAATTCGCTAAGGAGTATACGAACGAAAGCGACATCTGCTGGTTGTCAATGCGAATTAAAATAAATCGTGTGTCGGATGCAGAACCAATTTTATATCTACACAAGGAAGCGTGGTCTATTGACAATTTCTAAGTAAACAATGAAAATATATATATTGTACAAGACATTTACAATTTACAGCACGCCACAGTCCTTGCTATTTCTGCTCGTGATCCTGCATAGATTTAAATTGACGTACGATCGTTTATCGAGGTTGGTCAAAATGAACGACTACCTTGGCACTCGGGTTGTCTCCATGAAAACTCACCCAGAATATCCCAACGATTTTGCGACAGTTTTTATAACTAATTTTCACTGCACTTGTTAAACTTCAGATCCTCGCACTCGCGTCTTTCCGTTAACATTGTCGATTCTACTCACCGGTAGAGTCGTCGGCGACGAGTTCAAATGGCTCTTCAAGTCCAGCAAGCGCCTCCTCGGCGCTGTCGATGTCACAGGTAAACTTCGGGACTGGCTGGTCCTGGTTGATGATGTTGTTGCTGTTGCTGTTGCTGTTGTTGCTGTTGCTGTTGCTGCTGTTGATTCTGAGCCTGATGGGGCTGCGGTTGTTGATTCGGTGGCTGCTGATGATGGTTATGATTATGACTATGATGATGACTCTGGCGCACTCTCATGACCTCGCAACGTTGCTTATAAAGATCCCGCTCCTGCTGAAGTCGCGCCAGCTCGATCTTTACCCGCTGCAGTTCGTTCTGCAGATTCCGATTTGTTGTCTCAAGATCGTGTCGCTGCTGAAGACGCTTGCTGCGACAGTTCTGTGCGTAACCTCGATTCTTGAGGGTCCGTCGCTTCTGCTTGAGCCTCACGACCTTTGCAGATCATCCGACAACCTTTACGAACAGCTCACGTATCGCTCTTGAGATCAGAATGATCTCGTGAGCCGGTCTTCTAAAGTATAGTCAAGGACTCGGGCCACTCTCTGTACCATCACTTCAAGAACTTTGGCATTAAAATCTGATTTAGATATTTTCTCTTACTAGATGTCATTATATTGAATTCCATGTGATGTGTATATGTAACGAAACTTGCGTAATGATATACAAAGTGATCTTTTTACTCAACGTTCCTGATGGTTTGGCAGAAAAATGGAGCCGAGTATCTTGAACACACGTGAAAGAAAAAAGAGAGACCTCACTCACCTCTTCCCGCGGGCATCCATGGAGGCGTTTATTTAGCTCCCGCACGGAAAGGGACATTAGAAGTTCATCGTTCATGAGTTCATCCTGAGCATTGGCTCCGCCGCAGCTTGAGTAAATCCCGCTCCCGGATCGGTGACCTGGACTGGGTCCGCCTGCTCCACAAGAACTGACGGAACACACGCTCATGGGTCTGCTTGGTGGAATTGTCATCCCTTGTAAGCTGTCATCGAAACCCTGCATAACACCCCCGCCCGCGGGAAGCATCCCGCCTCCTGTACTGCTAGCTGAACAGCCGTAGTATTCGATGTGACCTGATACAGTTATGTACCCGCCTGTAATCAGCGTCCGCTCTATTTCTTTTAATTTATTCAAACTAATTAACTCGTCCAACTGGTTCGATCGATTATTATTGATTATCTGATCTCACTTTTACAATCGGAACTGCCTAAGTCTGCAAGAAAACATGAACGGCGACTCACCTGGGTGTCTTCCGTGGCGTGGTATATGTTGTAACTCCTGAAAGTGATGATGATTCGGGGTGGAAGGCCATGGCTCAGGATGAGGTTCAGGTGTCTGATCCTGAGGACAGTGTGGCCTCAAGTCCAGAGGTTCCTGCCTCAGGGATTGTGTAAGCCAACCCATGCTCCCCGATCCTACTTGGATGTTATCTTGTACCAGGGAACCTGGTTGCTGCAGGTGTAAGAGCAAACCACCCCTTTCGCGAGGGTCACGTTCACCACGGTGTAAGTGTAAGGACGGTGGTGATGCTGAGACCGGCGGAGTGTCTGGTGGTGTTCCAGGATGTGAAAGTGTCGTCAAATGGGGCGCCGCACCTGGCGGAGCTTTCACCAGGACCCCATGCTGCACCTGAATGTGCGGCTGACCATACAAGGGATGGGGTTGCTCCAATTCATGTGCCGGAGGGGTGAGCGGGGCTAGAGCTAATCCTTGACCCTGCACCTGACTCTGTAGCTGCACTACACCCCCGCTCACCATTACCGTCGGTGAACCCAGTCGCACCTGCAACATCCGTTGTTCCGCGACGCGTTACGCAAGCTTCCCATAAAGAAACGAAGCCTCATTTTTCAATAACTTTTTCGTCTTCGAGCTCTTTGCAATGTTATTATCTTTCGTGGCCCACGGCTGAATTACCCGTAACATGTAATGGCGTAACTCCATTTCGATAATTTACGTTTATATTTGCAAAATTTTTAACTTGTTACTGTAAACGAACAAAATAATCGTTTTCTACATGACTAATGACAACGGATTCACGTTTTATGTAAGATAAAATTATTATAACTATATTTATCCGTAAATGTAAAAATGGCCACAGCGACATTGCCTTGTCTGAATATTCGTACTTTCGTGCTAAAGTTCTTTGATTCATTTTTCAAAGAGACTAACTCCAGTTTTGAGATCAGAGACTCACCTCTCTTTTGACGTCGGCGGGATCGAGATGATCTAGGACAAACTCCTGGACGTATTCTCTGGCGAGATGGTCCACAGCCTCCATTTTAACCTCGTCGACCTCTACCACCACCTCCTCTACCGCCTCCGCTGCTGCTGCATACGGGAGCGGTTCCTCACCGCGACCCCTTCCACCGTCGTGGAAGCCTCTGCCTACGTCACTTCCTGGACAACCCGTCAATGTTTCGTGCGTCGTAACCACCTTGCCCGTCAACAACACGACCTAGTCGAACTTTTACCAGTTCTCTACAATACCAGGCACCGTCGTTGGATGCACCGAAAGCTGTGTATTATGAAGTTTCTCAATTCCGAAAAACCAGAAAGGAAGTTTGAGCAAGAGTTAGGATTTGTTCCTATGAAATCTTTTTTGCTCATACACAGTATTCTCGAGTAATATTTCAAGAATTTTTATATTCGGTCGTTTTTTCTCAAATTTTTAAATTTAAAACATAAACCGTGCAATGTTCCGTATGATCCTTCTTTTGTAAATAGTCCGATTTCGAATCTTCTTCAGGCTATGCTCCAAAAAGTAGATGTGTAACACCAAGCTGAGTAACCATTCAATGCGATTTATTCACTCGTAAACACACACGATATCTTCGGTAGCACACTATAAGGAAACACGTTCGCCTGCTATCGTTATTACCGCACTTAACGACAGGTTCCTTATCAAATTGTTGATAATCCAAAAACAGCAACAGTTCATTCATCACAAGCTTTTATCTTCAGTTCAACCCTCCAACGTTGCTCCAATATACCGAGTGTTCATAAAAATCGTAGTATTGTCATCAAAATAAATATTCCCATCACAATCGCACACGGTACCGACCACGTAAAATTTCTATGCAAAGAATAAAAAAGTGACAGTTCCTCAAAAATAAAATAACGAAACCCCGTACAACCGTAGTGATCTTGATTGATAAAAGTCGCAAGGTCGACTAGACGGAGGTCAAGGGTTAAATCCGTACGGAAATGGCGCGTAAAACTTTCCTTATCCACAAGACGTGAAAAATTTGTTGACTGATAAGTCAAAAAAAATAAATATATTCAGTAAGACGGCGTTACGCGTTGGGGATGAACGATTAGGTCGTAAAGCCTCGAAGTAGTTGAGGTCACGCTGCGGTATGGCCGCGAGTACGTATGAACTCGCAGTAGATACGCCGACCGAATGATAACTGGTCTCGCAAGAGCGGAGGAGCGTGGTGGTGCATAGGACGTCGGGCGCCGCGTCTGACGTCACTAGGAGGTGTGGTCCGCAATAGTCAGCCCTCCGACGCTGGCGTCGATTGGTGCACCTGACTCGTAGACGCCATTGGCTCCGTCCCTACCTTAGTCACGGACTTCCCTCGCATGCCAGTTGAACCTGGCCGGAGAGACATTAATTTTTAAAGTCATTATTATAATTTTTCAGCCCGCAGGACCACCCATTTTTTTCGGAATTTCAATTTACCGGAGAACGAGCGAAGTCTTATCGTTTCCCTCGTCGGATGTTGAGAACACGTCGGACTTATTAGCTATAGCAATTACTTTGCTTCCTTGGGAGACTCTTATCGGAATGATTGTCCAACTTGGTAGAACTTTTTGTATTATCCCTTATAAAAGTTTTTTAAATTTTTTCAATCATTTCTTTTGTTTATCACAATTTCTGCGGTACATGTAAAATCTCACGAGACGGACTTAACTTTTATATACAATGTTATGATTTATGACACTTCAAGGAGGGGTATCGTTATTTCGAAAAAATTGTATTTTTACTCGTAAAGGTACATTTACTTGGACAGCTTGCCTTTTCCGTAAAATTAAGTGAATGTCCGAAATTATACGCCAATTATAAAAATACTTATAAATATATACCTTACGTTTACATGTCCGTTAAAAAAAACATCGAAATTTAAATTTTTATGTTTCTGTCCTTTGAAATACAACTTCATACATAGATACAAAATCCATCTTTGAGACGTCTAAAAGACATTTCTGTCCTACTAGACGCATTAAAGACAACTTTCGGGCATTATGTATTGTCTGGTTATTTATTGCCACCATCGTAATATATTTCATGCCTGTCTGACACATTTCAGTAACATTACTACTTGTCCGGTACGAAAATGGCTTGACTTTCGAGAGACCTTCCGGTACCAAAGAAAAATATAAAATGATGCCTTAAGAAATGGTACCATAAAAATACAGAAGAAGCTAGTATAGTCATTAATACATAATACTGATACATATAAACCAAAAGCGAAAGAGCGAGAAACAGGGTGAAAATTTGAAAAAGACGTAGAATAGGAGTCGCGGTACAAATCAGAGAATCACATCTTAATAGGGTTCCGCAGACGTCCACGAATCCTACCCCAGGTTAGCAGTCTATACCCATTTCTAGAACCCCGAGACTTTAAAACGCTTCATGAATATCAAATTTTCATTCTCGACGCCGAGCACCGCGTTCATCCTCACCCTCGTCTATACAGCATCTCGTTCTCTACGGCGTGAATGCAAATGGTAGTCCTCGCGGTTATATACCTACGTATCTACCTTGCAGACACATCTTATCCTTTATCTCTTTTTCTCTTAAAAAAATAAATAAATAAAAAAATAATAGAAATACCAAATCAACCCTTATAGTCTCCATATAAGAACACAACCCAGATACGAGATCGTGTCTGTTCACTGTATCGTGGAAAACGAAAAGCTACCAGGATATATTGAAGATGTTCACCAAGATTATCGCGTCCCGATCTACATGGCTGTTAAACTTTTTTCTAGTCAAAATAAATTTCGATGATCCCTTTTTTATTTTTTTATGAGCGATTCTAATAATTTCGTTGGGTCTTTGAATTTGCTCAAGGAAAAGTTGTTTTCCGTCGGTCTGAAGAAGCTTGGGTGAATAATGGTCGGACCAAGTTTCCCGTAACTGAGTTCAAGATTGCAGATTGATCATACAAATGACGCTGTGAAATAGCCAAGAGATGAATACTCTGAGCTTTAAGGTCTATCCTTGACTTTAACCCTGTCATTGTGACTCGATGGACAGAATTTTGTTGGTCTAGACGGTAAGTAGAGACCCAGAATAGAGCCGAGGACGCCGATAGGATTGGCCATTCGGTGACCAAGGAATTCGTCGACGTTGCAGTTCGACATCCTCCCCGCTTGCTATTACTGCTGTGAAACTTATACCAAGGCGTGCAAATGAGTCTTGATTTTTTCGTATATTACAAAATGATATTTCATTTTACTGTTTTTTTTGTGTTTTTTTTAGAAAAAGATTTAGAAACTTTTCAGTTGGATTTTCCGTACAGTCAAAATATATTTATATTTTATTTGAAACTCGGTAAAAATTTTTTATTTTTTAAGCCATTTTTTTTATCCACTGTAATCTTTATACAAGATACCGCAGCACAAAAGAAATTTATCACTGTGTGGATATACCTTTGCGTGTCGGTTAGTGACGCAACGAACTTTTACTCTAAGATTTATGAACGCAATTGCACTAGACAGCCAAACATGAAACTTGCCGTAGTCACGTTTGGCGCATGTGATCTTAACTCGAATTCCAATCTCCGCCATTTATCCACCTCCAAAGACTTCTCCTACGAATGCTTTGAAATTACCGATAGTTCCTATCGCCATGCACGTGGTACGATCCCGCGCGTTCAATAAATTCAAAGATTAATAAAGATACCTTCAACAGAGACACATTGGATTTATGAGGAATATCTTAGAATGAATTTGAATTATATCCAGAAAAAATTGGATGACAACATCAAGATCCAATTAAATGACTTATCATACAATGGTAAAAAATTATTAAAATTAACGTACGTCTCTGTCCCCCGTATATTGACTACGCATTCATAAATAACAATGAAATGTTTCATAAATAATATGGAAACGTGTCAAAGGAGAAATATTTCAAATCGAAAGTTCAGGATCGAAGACTGATTCCAAGGATGAGTTTAAGGATGAGGCTAAGGCTAAGGCTACGAATAAGACTTAAGGGTAGAGGGTGCAGAAGGCAAGAGGAAGAATGAGGGAGAGTGCTGAGCCAGCATAGCCGGCTTGCCAGGCTGCACATCGATACCAGCCAGTCAGCCAACCTACCAACGAACCCACCTAGAGGTCTGCAAGGCTCTCTCTTTTCCTGCAGAAGGGGGTATACCTTAGACTCTCAACCGGAAAATACCACCTTTCCTATAGTCGCCATTCCTCTCACGCAAATTACACCCCGTGAACTTTGCCTAAGATCGTAAATAAAACTGTGGGCACCCATTGACTCCCTTGCAAAACGTGAATCGTCCAATTATAAAAGTACCCTCTCCAAGTCCTTGCACCCTCCGAATAGACCTCTCGGATCCAAACATGCAAATCCAAACATCCACGACATGAAATTTCTTAATAATAAATAGAAAAATATTGACCATGAATTTACGGTAAGTACATTGACGTTAATTAATCGCAATAACAAAACCAATATGTCCGGCATGGAATTTCACATAACGGAAGCAGGTTCGGTTAAGACGAACTTATACGATCGAACATCGTATACGTGATTCAGCTTCCGGAATAATATCCCCAATTCATTCATAAGAAGAGCGTTCGACGGATAATCCTCGAGTCATTTGTTTGCCGGCTGTTGAGACGCTCATTTGTTCGTGGCGCGCGATGACAGATGACAATGAAGTAGGCTACGACTTGTAGGGGTGGCTGCCACCGCACGCTGCACAGGGATGCTGATCTGTTTGCCATTCGTGCCCAATTATTCTCGGATCATCGCTGTGTATCCATATCGAGCATGGAAACATACGAATAGCGGTATTCGTGTCGCCATGATTAAAAACAAAAGTTCTATTCCGTCAAAAAAAGATCAGCCTTATCTCGGCTGCAGTACTGTCAATAATAATGTTAAGAAATCCATGATGGATTTCATTAGAATTTTTTTTAAAGAAAAAAAAAAAAAAGATAATAAGGATGAGAAAGGGGGGAACATCGCAAATCAAAAATGACAAATCGAACTTTCCC